CTCCTCGCCCACATCCCCCACCCTCACCCTACGCGCCCGACCCTCGCCGCCGCCCCCAGCACACGCCGCCCTCCAATTCATCCCCAATATCCCCCGCCCACCTCACACAGTCGCATCTGGCGCGTGGAATATTGTTTGCGATTCATTAGCCGCCGGCCGGTGCCATCCCCTTCCCCGTTTGCGCAATTTTGGATCGCACCCGACCACCTTCCGCGCTTCATCCCATTCCACGCAAAGGGGCAGTTCTGCAAGAGGAGATGGAAATGTGAAAAAAACAAACAGAAACGAAATAAAGCACCATAATTATACTTTCGACTGAAATGTTCTGCCTTTAAAGCGAAAGAATGAAGGGGACATTTGCGATTTTCAGTGTTACGTAATGTAGCTTCTCGATGTTTTTGAATGTAAACTCCCATTCTCAAGGTTTCAACATGTTTTGATTCTTTAATATTTCGGTTTAATATAATACTTTTATTGTGATAAATTTAAAGCCGTAAAGCCTAAATTTAAACAGTTCTGGATCAGAAGAAAGCATGTTATGGTGGAAAACTTTTAAGGAAACCATGCATTTGGCGATATGCAGTTTTTTTATCTATGAATAATCGTGTATTAAGTAAACTAAGTTTTGTTTATTAAAGAAATAACAGAAGTAGTGAATACACCCTACAAAGATTCGAGATAAGCAAACAGAATAAAATAATTTTAAAATTCTGCAGTCCTATGAAATAGCATATTCACTGGTTGGGGTTGGTTAGATCATCAACTGATGTTCTACAGTCATTTCCTGAAAAATTATGTTTCACTGAGATAAATCACTGTCGAAATATGCTCTTTAATTGTTTTTCTAGGAGGGTTATTAGATGTCAGCAGTCTGATGCTGGCTCCGCCCATGAAACTGATATCTTAATGTTTAATGTTGGTATGCCGCGTGTATAGGTAAATATAGAGGAATACGGATAACTCGAATATTTTTTATCGATAAATCTGGCGAATTGCTGAATAGCTCCTTATTTATGACTTTTGCTATATTATTGATGTAGTTAAACTTGAAGTTTTATGATTTTAGAATATTTAGGTATTAATAATATACACTCATTAGCAACAGAAATAGCGTAACGAATTAAAATACCCTATCATGTGCAAATTTAATTCTGCGACACTCCAACTCCAAAATCGGATCTCTTTCGTGCAAAGGTCGTCTCTCGGTGTTCGGCAATAAAATTTCCTCGGAGGTTTTACAATCTACGAGGAGGAAATCCGCTGTCTCTGCAGCCACGCGAGATTTCGCCCGACGCGATGCAGCTGTTTTATGTGTCAGAGATCCATCTCTTTTAGGATCCCTTGCCACTGCATGAAAGGGCTTCGAATCTGCCCAGTAAACGCCTTCATACATGTCACAAGTCACGAATTGCGCCGAGCTATATGGTAGTTGATTTCATAAATACGCATGGCAACTATACAATATTCATCATATACGTTCATGAAATACATATTGTGTGTCTACGTTGAATTTTTCATGAGTGATAAGGAAAACATATCGCAGGTTTATAGAATTTATGATATTTAAAGGTCCCTCCTTTTTATAAAACATCTGCTGAACTCGGATATGAGTTATTTTTGTATGATTGAAGTACAATCAAATAATTGTTTTGGTAAACAATAAATCATTACGCACTTAAATTTTGTGGTCCAAGAGGAAAGCTTAAATATCTTAATTACTTTGTTACAAACTTCACTCAGGTATTTTTCAAACAATTTCTAATTTAATTAAATACGAACGTGTTTTTTGTAAATATTTTAATATCAAAAATATAAAATAAATATCATCATAAAAAATTTTAAATTCCGTTTCGTAATAGAACATTTTTTAATTACTTTCTGTGAATTTTATTCTATAAATAATTTTTGTTAATTACAGAGGAAGACTTTTTTGGCTACATTTTATACAAAAAAAATTGTTAAATGAATTGCACAAATCCTATGTACTAAAATGATCCGACATAGTTTGCGTTGTGCCAAACAGAGAATCAGATTAATTATACATACATTTTTAGATGCACGCAATTTGTGTTGTAGTTCCCTTCATTAAAATTAATCACAGTATGTTGAACATCTATTATTCGCTTGATATTACTACTTCCACCAGATTGGGTATCGTCATGTGGGGCAATGAACAACAAGTTGGCAAGAACCTGGCAAAACCGAAAGTTCGACTTTTTTTATCACAGTCGAGACGATGAGTAGCACGAGACGGATGGATGGTCATTGTAACAATGGCAAATCGGAATGAAATGCACAAAAAGAGGAAATACCATCCAAAAGCATGTCGCAAAACTACAAATCTCTCGAAGCTTCACCGAGAATCGAGATAGTACACAGTATTATCAGAGATAGGAACTTCCTTAGACCCTGTTTACATGCTTCGTTTGAACGAAAGATTCTGCCGATTTATCTAGTGGGTGATCTGGGCTGTCCGGGTGACGCCGCGTCGAAGGCTGAGTTGCCGACGTTTCGACCATCCTGTCGTGGTCTTCCTCAGGGCTGGTATGCGGGAACCTGAGGAAGACCACGACAGGATAGTCGAAACGTCGGCAACTCAGCCTTCGACGCGGCGTCACCCGGACAGCCCAGATCACCCACATGATTCTGGTCGCGGAAGCCTACGACTTCAGATTTATCTAGTGCACGCTTGTGCAGAACGGCTTATAAGACAAACCTCTACAATCCCCAAGCGCGTAAAATGGATCTTACAGGTTTCGCCAAATTAAAGATTCGCACAGAACAAAATTAAACGGCAGTGAACGCAATGATACCTCGGTCGTTTTCACTTTGTATCGTTGATTTTTACTAAAACATCGTTTTTCAGTAAGGCCTCACATGATATTTAAGTTTTCCTTGACATCACTCAGTTAAAAAATATTTTATAATATTTCTTTAATAGCAACGAAATGTATATTAAAATGCTATATGCCAGGCACGACGCGACCTGACGATCAAGTCTTTTCCATATTTCGAAAGTTCACGTCTTTTAAAAATGACTATCCCCAGGATCTCACAGATACATTGCGAGAACCCCCATACAGATACTCACAACAGAAAATTATGCATCGAGACCATCCAATTGCATCTAGTATTGTTGGTAGATGTAGAGAGGTAGGTATAAAGAGAAGCTAAACCTGGACTATCGAATACACTCATACTCAACAGCTCCTCTAGTTAGCAACAGAAACTGAGAGACAATTATAATAAATGATGTAATGGAGATTTTCAAGTTAATTATTTTTGATTTTTTGTAGATTTGGGTAAGGCTTTCTTATATATCACAACAACCAGGAAGGAATCGATTCACCCGCGCAAGAACATGGCGAAAGACCACAGATTCGCGGGCGGAATAGTATTGTATTTATAACCGCAAACTTTAAGGCGAGTTGATGCTTTGCTACACATGTCCAATTTTACGACGAGGCTCAAACCTTCCCTATTAATATAAAAATCCTTGCACCAACCCAACGCAATGTATTTCCTTAATACAACAGAATACCCTCGTTCACGCCATTCGTTCTTCGCTTTCGCTCACCGAACTCGCGGCATTGGAGTCGATTCCTTATGACGAGTAAGATTCTTTAGTGGTTCCCAGCATACGCCGCAATCCCACAGGGCTTTGCAACTCTCCACCAAAACAAGGAACAGATGGAGGGTGATACTCTAGCAAGCGCTAGTGTCGCCAGGTACAGCCGCAGGTTCGGCTCGCCAACTTCCGCAGATAAAAATTGGCTAATTTGTGAGAAATAGTAAAAGTGTCTTTTAAATGTTCAGTTATTCATAATGCACACATATTAGAACCCCCCGAAGAAATCGCGAACATCGGCGCTATCTTTTGTAACATTATGTGCCTGCTTGCGACCTACGAACTCACGCTGCAATCACGCAGCGCTGGCAAACGGTTCGTGTTTTAGTTCCTGTAAGAAGGTCCTGCAGCAGAGCGCGCCACCGTAGTGGATTGTACCACGTTATTTGGGAGTTATAAGGCCCTGGTTTGAACCCTCCTGACAACAGGCTACAAAACGACAAAATTGGCGTGGGAATGAACTACGTTACTCTCATATCTGAACGCCCATTTTGATAAGAAAAATAAGTTATTGTTCACGAATGAAATTATTTCATATCAGAATACACATACAAACATATTAACATCTGGAATGTTATGGCTATTAACATACCTAGAAGTGTTATTACAGCGGAGAACAAAATTTGAAAATCGAGGCGGAGGGTAGCGGGGCCGAGTTTAGTGGAGCCGGACAAGAATGTTGCTTCAGGCGAGCGAGATTTCTCAGCTCTTTCGTTACCATTCCGGAGCAGAGTTCGCCGCCGCGCTCGCTTTACATAAGCGCCGACCTCCGGCGATAAGGAGCCGGGCTCTGCTGAGCCGACAGCGCGTTTGACCGAACGAGTCACACGACGGCGGCGCGGGGCGAGCAGTGTCGGGTTGCACTCGCGTCGGCGCGCCCCGTCAAGCTCAAGCTCTTACCGTGTACGCGCACGTGGTGGCCCCGTAGAAATGGAGAAGAAGTTGAAGCAGTGGCTGTGGCGCGCCACGAATTTCGCGCGGCTCCAGTTCGTCAAAGTGTGCAGTTTTACGTGTGATTTGACCGTGTTTTGTTTGTGTGTCATATTTATTGTTCACGTGTTGTGAAATGGTGGTGATCTACATTTGTTTACGAAAAATATATTTTTATTTGAATTTTAAATTTTTTATCCTCGGAATATGTTACCAACGATGACTCTCATGGGTTTACTGGAACGCGTAACGAAACAAATGCGTGAACGTTTTACGAAGGTAAGAATTTTTTTTAAATACTAATTTATGGCTGTATGCAATGTATAGCTGTGTATGGCTGAAGACTATTTCAGAAAAATAACTAATTACCAGAAATCGCATATTTATTTTTCGGTTTGACTGTGCAAATTCTAAATTTGCGTAAAACACATTTGAAAGCCACCTCTTGGTATAAATTAATGTGAACTGTTATTTTTCTGACACTCTATTATTCAGTTTAACGTATTTATCGGTCACATGCGTCTTTAATCCCTGTTAACATGAAACTATAAAGGGTTGTTAAGAGCACCTGTATCTACCAGTATGTTAAGGAATTTAACATCGTTAGAAACGTAAACAACCATCGATTCGTCGCCAAGTCAAATGTACGTTCAGAACAAAAACATGGCGATGTACAAAACAAATCAGTAGCAAAGAATTCAGTATCAAAAAAATTCACATTAGTTTGGGGGATAAATATTTTTAATTGTAATATTATCACTCGTACAATTGGAAAAACGCATATTACGTAAATCAACCTCATTTTCCTCGCATTCCACCAAATGAAACTCTACTCCGGTAATCATTTTTACTGAAGAAGTGAAGGTGTCGTCACTGGAACTCAATACTCCAACTTCCTCACGGAACGTGTTTTCTTGAAGTAGATTTTTATGTTCAGGAGAATTATTTGCATCCATCTTTCTCGCACCACGGTATACGAATATTGTTTATACAGATTATCGCAGGCAACAGCATTCTTATCCGGCTCCACTAAACTCGGCTCCTCTATGCTCCACCTCGATTTTCAAATTTTGGTTTCTGCAGTAATAACATTTCTAGGTATGTTAATAGCCATAACATTCCAGATGTTAATATGTTTGTATGTGTACTCTGATATGAAATAATTTGATTCATGAACTATAACTTATTTTTCTTATCAAACCAATTAAAATTCCTTCAAAGTTCAATGACCTTCGGAATATTCCACGCATGAAACTAAACACAGATCTTTAGGAAAAGCTACTGATTTAACAAGGAAGTATCAATGAAACTCATAGGTTACATCTTTCAAAGTGATACTCCCTTAAACAGAAATAGTTCTC